GGGTGGTTGGTTTGGCTTTTGAGTGGAACTAATTAAATAAGGAGAAATGTGCACTGTTTTGAAAAAGAAAGATCCACTTGAATTGAAAAAAAAATATTTGGATTGTTGCGAAAAAATAATTCCTTGATAAGAGGTGGCTCTTGATGTAAGTGTGCTTAAAGAAGAATGGGGTAATATACATTGATGTGAAGGTGGAGTTTTGGTTTGACATAAGTATGGGGTTTGAATGTTAAAGTATATGTATTAAAGTGCTTAGGGAGGTGTAGTCACTCCTATATCTAAATGTATCATACCCGTCCCGTAGCCTACATTACAACCAAATAAAGTCCTAATTGATCCTAGATTGAATGTGCTCGATTAGTGGATTAGTACACTATGGGCAAGCTTATGGTGCATCTTTTGTGGCATATGAATGTTATTTCTGTGAGTGAGTGAATTCTTTCTATCTTGAGTTCCTAAGTGTTCTTAAATTTTATTGTGTGGAACTACTCTCTTTTGTTGTGTGAGGGCACTTGATTCATGAAGGAAAGGTAATGTTAGTGACCTCTATAGTAGAGTAAGTGGGTGATTTGTGAATAATGCATGGTACTTGTGAGTCAAATCTTGAGGTGAAGATGTTACGCTTTTGTGCTTAGTCTATTTTAAATACTCTTGGTGTGATGAGTTAGGAGAATTATTTAAAAATGTCGTGTCTATAAAAAATGTAGTTTGATTGCTCGATGACGAGCAATGGTTTAAGTATGGGGTGTTGATAATAGGCTATAATTACGTATTTTAGTCGCTTATTACACTCAAATTTATTGCACTTTAATTGAGTTTGAGCTTTAAACGCTAGTGTCTTGCACTAATTGTGTGTTTTATGCCTTGTATGAGTGATTCCGAGCTACGTAGATGTTATGGAATGAATTCAAGTGATTTGGATCTTTGAAGTCTGAGTAAAAGCCCAAGGAATTAAGCTGGGATCGTATTCGGGGATCAACGGATGATAGAGCAACAAAACGAAGAATCGAGTAGGCATATTGCGCACTGTCTAGTAAAATGCACATAACCTTTTGCTCAGAACTCCATTTGGGCTCCACAATATATGGTTGGAAATATACTCAAAGGGCTACAACTTTTATGTTTTACTTTTTTCGAATTCGAAATGGAAAAGGGTGAAAAACGCGGTCGAAACCGCGACCGCGGACCTGACGCAGACTGAAAAATTAGACTTGCCAAATACTGCGCCCGGGCCGCGGACGTCCAGGCCTGGAAACTTGTCCTTTGTTGCGTAGGAAAAGGTATAATAGTTTGGGCCCGACCCTACTGGTATATATACATCGAAAAATGGTATTTTGAGGGGAGGAGATCAATTTTTGACACAGATTCGACCTAAGGAGGCACAAACACAATAGGAGCAAGGCGGAGAATTCTTCTACGAGTTTTTCCTTCCTCTTCCTATTTTTTCATTGTTGGTTATGACTTGTAGTATTGTAGTTTTACATACTATTATGAATAGCTAATTTGTTATATGGGAATTTGATAGAACCTTTTGTAGGATAAATTCTTGTTATGTTTTTATATAATTGAGCCGTTGGATTTTTCTACTAGTTCAACTACGTGTTTGTTGTTATTGATTGAATGACCATCAATTGACTGTGCATGTTTAGTGCGCAGTGCTCGAGAGAGAGTACATATTTAGGTAATTATTGAACAATGTCACTCCTAACATATGTGAGAAATCAATACAATGGGTTTAAATGTAGGTTTAGAAATAACAAAGCCTTGATGTGGTCATAATGAGCGGTTAAATAAAGCCAACTAGAGTAGTTCGAAAGAATATGTCTAGTAAATTGTTATAGTTGCTCAAGAGAGAATTACGACATCTAAAGTGCTCACGATCAATAGAGAATACATTGGCAAAATTGTAGGGAACATAACTAGAAGGATTCCGACAATTTGGAAAATCATAACTCTAGACCTCCTTAATTTAGTCTCCAACTCTTTGTCTCGTTAGTTGATAATTTTACCATTTTATAGTATTTGCTAGTAAATTAGTTAGAAATATAAATATCAATCTTTATAATTTAGAAAATTGTTTAAACTTGTCTTTTTAGTGATATTAAACAGATATAGCTAAGCCTTAGTTCTCTGTGGGATTCGACTCTGAACTTTTAAACAAGATTATATTTGCAGCGACCGCTTATCCTTTTTAGGACTAGAGTTGGGCGTGATCAGGGCACAATAACAAGAATTACTGAAAGATCATTGGTTATCCACAAGATTTAGAGTCTAAGAATAAAAGGGGATCTGCAGCCTATAATGTTTGTATTTAAGAGCCAAATCAGACCTTCTATAATCAGGTACATCCATTTATGCAGGTACAGAATCAGTCTCAAAAAATGTAGAATTTACCTCAGTTTGGAGTGCAAATACAGAGGCAACCATCAACCTCAAGAGACAGCACATTAGGAAGACAACCAGTGGCATGCACATTTACTAAGAAACAATATGAACAGATTTTACAAATGCTGAACAAAAGCTCTTTTACTGCTCCCTCAACAAATATGGCACACATAACTGGTACTAACTATATTTTATTAGTGAGTAATAAGCTTCCGGAGTGGATCATTGATACAAGGGCTACAAATCATATGGTGTCTGATTTAAACTTGTTATCTAAATCGGAAGAGATCAAACCTAGTAATCCTAAGAAAGTATATATACCAAATGGAGATGTAGTCTATGTTACACACATGGGTACTAGTCCAATTTCAGCAAGAAGTATATTCAAAAATGTCCTACATGTTCCAAGATTCAGATATAATCTACTCTCAGTATCCAAGGCAACTAAAGACTTACAATGTTGTGTTGCTTTTTATCCTGATTTCTGCCTATTTCTGGATCTTTACAGTGGGAGGGTGAAAGAGATTGGTAAGAAACATGATGGTCTCTATATGTTGATCTCTCACATAAATAAGAGCAATCCATAAATAACACTAATAGTCAAGGACACTACAGAACATAAGGAGAAGCATGACATTAACTTGTAGCATAGGAGACTAGGACATGTATCTTCTATAGTATTAAAGAAGTTGTTCCCTGTTAAAACTCAGAACTGTGTTACAATTGTGGATAATTGTCATGTATTTCCATTAGCTAAACAAACTAAACTTCCCTTTTCTAGTAGCAGTATTAAAAGCATAGAATGTTTTGATTTGATACATGCAGATGTATGGGGTCCTTATAGAGTGCCTACATTTGATGGAAATAAATACTTCCTAACTTCGGTGGATGACTTCTCTAGAATGACATGGTTATTTCTGCTAAAGTATAAGTCAGATATATGTGTGGTCTTAAAATTCTTCTTGTGTTATGTAAAAACACATCATAACAAGTGTGTTAAGATTATCAGGACAGACAATAGATTGGAATTTGTGAATTCAACTTGCAATGATCTATTTAGCAATCGTGAAATGATTCATTAAAGAACCTGTGTATATACTCCTCAGCGAAATGATATAGATGACATAAAGCAGAGACATATTTTAGAGGTTGTTAGAGCAATGAGATTTCAAGCTCATATACCTCTGAAATACCAGGACATTGTGTACTAGCTGCAGTACACATAATCAACAGCATGTCTTCTTCAGTCATTAATAGAGTGTCATCCTTCTAGAAGCTGCACAAAAGTAAACCTTCACTACAATATATCAGAGTACTAGGATATTTATGCTATGCCAAGGCAGTTCAAGAAAAGGACAATTCATGTCAAGAGCTATACCAACAATGTTGATGGGCTATGCTGCAACTCAGAAAGGCTATGTACTCTTAAATCTAACTAATCATTCTTTCTTTGTTAGCAGGGATATTGTCTTCAAAGAGACTGTCTTTCCTTTTAGATAGATAAGAAATAAATATCTACTAATCTTCCTACAATTAGATGTTCCTGCAGACTATACTCAACTATCAGGGATCCCAAAAGTTTCTGAGATAAGCCACAACAGTGAGCATAAGGCTAAGTTAACACACTCAGATACAGGAGATGTGGCCAGTGGTACAAATCAAAATGTTCATGACAATAATGTTGCAAGTGAGAGTGAAGGAGAATCAATCTTGGCTCATCCAACTGGAGACAGTCCTGATCAGGGTCAAGTGCAGGTTCCATCTACTCAACAATTGCTAGCTATCCCCTCAGTTGTAGAAGAAGAAGTTAGAAGATCTTTTAGTCCAAAGAATCCTTCTATTTGGATAAAGGATTTTGTATCACTAAATGTACATGAGGTTGTACCATATGCTATTGCAAACTATGTCTCCTACAATGGTTTGTCTCATAAATACCAAATTTATCTTGTAACCTCCTCCTCTTTTGCAAAACCCGCTACATATGCTGAAGCCCATCAAGATCTTAGATAAATAGATGCTATGAAGGCAGAGAATGAAGCACTTTAAAGCAATCACATCCGAGACATTGTCTCTCTTCTGAAGGTAAGGTTTCAATTGGTTGTAAATGGGTATATTAGGTCAAATACAGAGCATCAGGTGAAGTGGAGAGATTCAAGTCCAGGTTGGTAGCTAAAGGGTACAGTTAGAAGGAGGGGATTGATTATCAGGAAACTTTTTCACCTATAGTGAAAATGGTGACTTTAAGGCCTGTTCTATCAATAGTTGCAGCTCAGAAGTGGCATATTCATCAAATAGATATGTATAATGCTTCTCTTCAGGGTGATCTCTTTGATGAGATTTATATGTTATTGCCATCAGGATTCAGAAGCCAGGGGAGTCTCAACCAGTGTGCATGCTTCATACATCTTTATATGACTTGAAATAGGCCCCTAACCAGTGGAATGAAAAACTCACGGAAGCTTTGTATGGTTCATAAATCCTTATATGGTCTGAAACAGGCCCCTAGACAGTGGAATGAGAAACTCACAAAAGCTTTGTATCAATTTGGCTTTGCTCAGAGCTAAAATGATCACTCTTAGTTCATCAAGCAAACTACTGAAGGCACAGTAATAGTGATGGTGGATGTAGATGACATGCTAGTCATTGGTATCTACCTATATCTAATTGAAGAGACAAAGAAAGCACAACAACAGGCATTCAAAATGAAAGACTTGGGAGAGTTGAAGTACTTTCTAGGAATAGAGTTTGTCAGATCTGCAGATGGGATTCTTATGCATCAGAGAAAATATGCTTTGGAGATTATATCTGAACTTGGACTTGGAGCAACAAAGCCGGTAGATACTCCACTAGAAGTGAATGCAAAGTTGACTGCCAAAGAGTATGATAATTATCTTGGTACTTTAAATGATGTTGTGGATGAACTACTACCAGATCCAAGTGTATATCAAAGACTAATAGGCAAGCTGCTATATTTGACTATGACAAGGCCTGACTTGGCATTTAGTGTGTAGATGCTAAGTCAGTTTCTCCAGCAACCAAAGATATCACACATGGAGGCAGCAATGAGAGTTGTTAAATATGTCAAAAACCATCCTAGGGAGTGCATATTGATGTCCAGCAAAGCCACAGGCACATTGGAGGCATTTTGTGATGCAGATTGGGCTGCATGTCAACACTTTAGAAGATCTGTAACAGGTTTCTTGATCAAACTAGGCAGCTCGTTGGTGTCTTGGAAGTTTAAGAAGCAGACAACGGTATTCTGCTGAAGCAGAATACGGGAGTTTGGCAGCCATAGTTGCTGAATTGGTTTGGCTAGTGTGGTTGATAAAGGAGATAGGAGTCGAGGTTCAGTTGCTTATGAACATTTATTGTGACAGCAAGGGAGCAATACAGACTGCAGCAAATCCAGTATTTCATGAACGATCAAAACATATTGATATAGATTGTCATTTCATAAGGGAGAAGATATTGGAAGGACTAGTTTCAACCATGTATGTTGGGACAAGAGAACAATAGGCTGATTTGATGTATTTACACCTCCTAGCTTGAGGGTGAGTGTGGTGAGAGGTGTGACTTTATGTATAACAAACTAAGGGTAGTTTAGTCTATTTAACTCTAGGTAGTTAGATGTATAAAGTCGGTTATCTTCTATAAATATGGGTTGTTTGTACAATGTATACACAGTAATAACAAAATTGATTTTTGCATTTCTAACTTTAGCTCATCTCCTGCTTCTATTGCTTTCCTTCTCAGCTAGGGTTTACATAGCACGATCCATGGATTTAACAATATAAATAAGATAAAATCATAGATGAGAGAATTTAATCATATAGTCTTGGTATCCTAGTATATACCTGATGTCGAACGTTGTAACTTTTAGCACTTATCAAAACGTAACATATATTTCCTCCATTCCAAAAAGAATAAGACTATTGCTTTATTAGTCCGTTCAAAATTTTAATTGACAAATTTTAAATATTTTGCAGTTATACAACTATTATGTCGTATTTAAGATTATATATTTTAAAAATAATTTTTTATTTCTTAAATTTTATATATCCAATCGAACTGCATCATATGAGGGACTATTGTAAAATAAATATCGACAAAGGTATTTGGGAGGATTGTCAACCAGAAAAGTGATAGAAAAGAAAAGAAGAAAGAAAAAAATAAAAAAGCAAAAGGGGAAAAGGGGAAAATTATCAGTAAATTACCTAATATAAGCATCAGGTACATTTTTCTCAAAATCATAACCAGGAAGTCAGCAAAAAAGGGGAAAAGATGAAAAATCAGAAAAAGCAAGATCTGCACTAAGAATAATTAGGATAATATCTTACTCCAGGAATGAGGATAAGAGAAATATCAGAAGAAGAGAATGACAAAAATGATAAGCAAACGTATATCACGAGTAAGGGCTATATATGGATCGGGTTTGGATTGGTTCGATTTTGTCGAGTTTTTCGGGTTTTTGGGTTTTTTGTTACATGTATATTATTTCAATCTTACTTCATTAAAATTATAGATAAAGTTTTGATAAGTGAATATATGTTTAATAAATATGGAAAAAATTGACAAAAATATGATCTATTAAAATATTCTAATGGGAGCATTTTTTTTAGTAACACATGATAGTTATTTTCTTAGTCGTCTAACAATAATTTTTCGTTAATTTACACTTTCAAGGTTAATACATGAGAGGATCCCAAATATTTCTATATTTTCTAAAGAAAAATCACTATAAAGTCTTAAAAATATAAATAAAATTTATATATTTATATGTCGGTTTGTTTCGGGTTTTTTCACTCAATATCAAACTTAGTCAGATTTTTTAATCGGCTTAGTTTGGTTTTTTGATTTGGTGTGATTTTTCGGTTCGGTTTGAACACCCCTAATCACGAGATTGAAGATATATATAATAATAACATGAATAGGGTAAAAACTTGACAATGAAATAACACTACTGTATTTTGATTTCAGCAACGAGAAAACTTAGACTATCAATTGCGGGACCAACTGGGTATGACACCAAAAGATTTGTCAACTCAACTAAAGAAGGAATCTTTTACATAGTATGACAAATTAATACACTAGTAAAAAAAAATGAGAGTGTGCTAAAATTACTTGTCACTATTTAAATTAGTTGATATTGGTATTAAATTCACCGTTTAAATTTTTTCGCTAATATTTAAAGGATTCATCACGTTTAACCTTTCACATTAATTTTGATTTATTGTTATCTTTCTCATTTATCTACTTTTGGAATATGTTATACTAAATTTAGAGAATGAGTATAGATTAGGAAACAAAGATTTAACTTATATCATTGTTGACAATAATTTTTACATTGGTGCATTTGAACTAACTGATCATACTCCCTTCGTCTCAAATTATTTGTCATTTTTTTTATTCGTCCCTTAATAAACATTAGTTAGAAGGAGTTTTGGATTATTTTATCCTAGATAATATATCTTAAGATATAACCTCTCTTCATTAAATATTAACTCTATTTATATACTATTTTCATTTTCAAGAACAATTACTACTAAAGGTAAAATGGGAAAATATAACTAATTTTGTATTGAACTTCTAAAATAATAAATATTCCTTCCGGTCCATAATAAGTGACTAGTTTACTTTTGGCACACTCATTAAGGAAATACTAACTTCTAGATAAAAATGATGTATTCACTAAATTAACCTTAATAATTGTTACATTGACACATTGGAATATGTAAATAAGGAAAAATTTTGAAAAAATAAAATTAATTCCTTCTTGATTATGTAAGTGGGTACTTATTTTGGACCAAAATAAAAAGATAAAATAATTACTTATTGTGGATCGCGGGAAGTAATTTGAGATAATCTATATTATTATAAAATCATGAGTACAATACGGTTTACAAAAATAACCTTATAATACTAAGCATAATAACTTATAGTAAAAGGATAAAACCGAAATTCTAGACATTAGCCTTATAATTCTATTAGGTTTAGGACATAATACTACATGCTAGGAATTCTTCATGATTACCTTTAGAAATCCTATTAGTATATTTACTTTCGGGCATAGACATATAATACTACAAGTTAGCAATCATGGTAGCGTTAGAATTCAATCTCATTATCTCAAAATTACCTGTGTCGATACTACAAACATGTCAAAAAATGATGTGTCTAATTAAAGCAAAAAAAAAAAGTGAATATGTATTAATGGTTTGATGGATAGTTAGGAAACCAATTTTTAGAAAAAAAGACATACGTTAATAAATAACTCAATACATACCACTCTATAATATTGCATATCAAGAAAAAATAAAAGTAATATTATACGGACGGTATAAAGCATTGAAATTGAGAGAAAAAAATCCTAGGAGAATATAATATTATATTATATTTGAACTGCTTTCCTACCCAATTATTAAAGAACAACTAAGAAAATTTTACGAATATAAATGTGTGAGAAAAAAAAAAGAAAAAAGGTTGGTACGAGTCAATACCACTAATAATTTTGCAAACATAAAGATCTAAAAGTGGAATACCATATCGATATTTTTACTCTTTGAAAATAAAATGTATGATGGATAAAACTATAATTACTCTTAAATATTCAAACATGAGATGAACTAATATTAAGAATCTAAATCAACAGAAAATAAATAATATTTTATGTTAAAACGAAATAATCAAATCTTTCATTTAATTATTTAGCAAGAGAATCCAATTAAATTATTTTTTAAATACATCATATGAGTAATATTATTTTTTAAGTTAAAAAATCTTATGGTACATAACTTTATTCCATAAAAAGAGGGTTAGAGATTAAAAAAGTTAGATCATTAAGTAAAAAAAGATTAGTATAATATTAAGAAGGCATACAAGTGTTTGAGGAAGCACAATCAAAGCTAAATTCTTAACAAGAATAAGTTTTCAAGACTATATTATAAAAATTGACTCTGGTATATCGAGATTATCCTTTGTATATGCCTCTGGCGGAATCGAAATAATATTCCTATGTCATGCATTACTTGCAAATTGTTAGATCAAGAAGCATGATATTGTCAGCAATAAGAACAAGTGGTGTACCAATAACGATTTTATTATGAGGTCATACAACTCACTTTAAATTTGATATACCTCTTCAAATAATTGAAATAACCAACACAAATATATCAAAGCAGAGCAATAGTGTTAAATTTATGAGGAAAGCGAAAGTGATAATATGGGATGAAGCGTTTTTAGCTAAGCGTCAAACGATCGAAACAGTCACCTAGAGTTTTAGAGATATATTGGATATTCAATGAACCGTTTGGTGAAAAATTAATAGTTTGGGAGGTGATTTTTGTCAAGTACGATTAATAGTTCCAAAATAGACGAAAGCAGAAATTGTAAAAGCTAATTACCAAAATTATACTTATGGCCTTAATTGAAAAATATTCAAATGACAAGAAATATAAAAGTGAGAACAGATCTAACATTTAGTGACTTCTGCTTCGTGTCGGAAACGAAAAGGATCATCCAATAAAAGATGATTTGGTTCTTCTATAACACTTGATTATCAACCCCAGTGGAAATAGTAGTGCATTTAATAAGGAAAATATTTTCATCGGTATATTAAAACACAATTTGTGCAAATTACATGATAGAAATTAAAGGACTATCTTAGCTAGCAGAAATGAATATGTTGATCACTAAATAAAAGGTTGATTACTAAGTTTTATGGTAACAAAAAAATATTTTTCAGTTTTGACTTAGCAGAAGATGATACCAACAATTACAATCAAGAAGAATACTTAAATACTTTAACACCAAATGGTCTTCTACTGTACATGCTTGTTGTCAAGTTCACTATTTCTTACGTATATTAGTGTCACCATATATATAATAGACTAAGTTAAAATTGATTTTCCATTGCATATAGGTTGATTTTGAAGAAAATATGTTTGTCAATATTTAAAAATACCCAATTATTAAACAACTAAGAAAATATTTAAAAATATAAATGTGAGAGAAAGAGAAAAAAATGGTTGGTAAGAGTCAATACCACTAATGATTCTACAGACATAAAGATCAAAAGTGAAAGATCACATCAATCTTTTGCTCTTTGAAAATAAAATTTATGGTGACTAAAATTATAATTAAGATTAAATATTCAAAACAAGAGATGAACTAATATTTAGTCATTAAACATATGCATGGAAATTTAGATCTATTGAATAACTTATGTAATAGTACACATATGATACATAGAAGTTTTGACAATAACGGCATACATGCAGAACTTATGACACTGGTCAATGTGCTTCTAAATACTATGTGTTTATTCCCGAATTCAACTTTCGTCTTCCGAAATAAAATTATATCCTTTTAAATTTGTGTGAAAATCATTTTCAGTATGTTTATGTTTTGTAGTTATAATAAATAAAGCACAAGGACAAACATCATAAATATTGGACTATATTTACAACGTTATGTTTTCTTGCACGAATAACTATATGTTGCACTTTCAAGAGAGATAT